GATTATGTTTATATATTTTGCTAATGTATATTTGTAATTATTTGAGTCATAAATATATATTCAGAAATAGAATGAGAAAATCTTTTTTATATATCTTTCTAGTAGAGTTAGACTCTTTTATTTGAAGTTGTATATATATATTTAAAAATTACAAACTTTTTGATAAAGTTCTAGTTCTAAATTAGAATAGAGAAAAAAGTAATTAAATCATATTTGAATTAACTATTTCTAATATATTTGATATTATATAATAAATATTATATAAATATGTTACTCCATAGTTTTAAAATTCTATTTGTCAAAAAAGTGTAAATAGGTTCTCTATCTACTAATATTCAAATTTTCTAAATGAATTTTTTGATATTTTGTAGTTTGTGAACAAAGTATAATATTGCATTTAGCAGTTTGTTAGCTAGTAACAGATTTTTATTATCTGCGCTAATAAGTATATTGCAAAAGTAAGTTCATAAACCTTCTGTTATTGATAATATAATAAATAATATTAGAAGACCAAGTTTATAGATTAGCATATTCAGATTTTTTTTTTTTTAAAAGTAATTATTATCTGTATAAACAAATATTAAAATAGATGATATTTTTGTTTATTATAGTACTAGCTATTAATATAGATACTATATTCGATAATTTCAATAGCTGTAGATGAATAGTAAATTTTATCAATAGATTGTTTGATAAATTATTAAGTATTTTAAAAATTTCTAAATTTTTCTAGTTATAAATATACTCATATAGGCCAGTAGTGATATAGTTTAAATTGAGAATTTTTAGAAAGTAAATGATATTTTTATATATTTTTTAAAAGTATTATAGCATTGTTGTAAATTTTCTAACTGATTTCATATATTATAATAGTAGCTACAACCATTAGGATATAGATCTAAAAAGAATAATGATTCAAGATAAGATTATTTAGAGCAATTAAAATTTTATTTATATTATTATTAGCTATAAATCTAGCTATCAAATAACAATAGTTTGCATCTTTGTTGTAGATTTTGGTAAGAAAATTTTAGTGAAAAACTACTATATTGTTATATTGAAATAAAGATATATATTTTTATTAACAGATAAATAGACAACTATAGAAAATTAAAGATTTGAATTTGATATTAAATGAAATTATTAGTAAATACTAACATATGTATAGGTTGTTTTTTTGAGCCAATTAGTAATATTAATTAGAAAGTTGTCAAACTAAGAAGAAAGTGCAGATTAAGTAGAAGTTAAAAAAGCAAAGTAAACACCTAGCAAATCTAAATATAAATTTAGAAAATTAAAGTTTTGTAAATAATTTATAATATCTACTAATATTTTGTATTCAAAGAAGAGATTAGCTTTAGGTATTTTATTCAGAAAATAGTAAAAAAAGATAAAGAATAGATGTTTGCATAATATTAATAGTACTAATTTGATTTTAGTTAGAATCAGAAATAGGTATAGCAGATAATTTCATATTAAATTTGATTTGTATAAAGGCATATTGCAATACAATTTGTGAGTAGTATTAGATTTATAACTAATAATATATAATTTTCAAGAGATATAAATTATCATTATTTTAATAAATTCATATTAATTTTTCTAAATACATGAGTTTAAAGCAAATAGAATAGTGAATATACAGAAATTGAGATAGAATAGTATTTTCAATTTTTTTTATTATTTCTCACATTTTTTCTGAGATGATCTACAAAGATATTTTTAGATAAAATAGATTGTTGAATTAAATATTGCTTTGATTAAATTGTTATAAGTTATTGTTATTAAAAGTTAAATCAATTATTTCTTTATTATATTCTAAAGGTTTAATTTTTTTTTTTTTTTTTTGGTGTTAAAGTGACCTCTTGGTCAAGTGTGCTTTATTGATTTCGAATATGTTATACATATTTGGAGAGTACATCTAGTCACACCTGCACTTTTTGGGCGCCTATTTAAGTAGTCTGCCTATTACTAGGTTCTACACTAGTTGCCATACCTGCAACTCAACTAGGGGTTACCTATATAAACCCTCTGCGTCTATGTACTCTAACATCTACATCAATCGGCAACCATTTCTCTAGTTCTATGAACCGGTCTCTCTGGCATACATTCATATGATGACTTAGAACTATTTTATTCTCGAGGTAAACCTGGCAGAGCCCACAGTATTTCTACTTTATACCGCACCTAACCTGTACTTCAGTCTGGTACGCACAGGTTGTGGCCCGCCACTTATGGCTCAGTTTACCTATTCTGAGAGTGTATGTGGCGCTGGGTCGAGATCCTTGCCTACGGTTTTTCTTCTAGTTTAAATTTTCTCCTGCTTCCTTTCTATGATTTAACTCTAGTTTGGCTAAACTCTGCTATCCAAACCTACTTCTGCTCTTGTAGAATTTATTCAAACCCCAGAACTTACTTTACAGTATATCTCCAGTACTTTAGTAACCTAGCTCTCTTTACCTAGACTTCCAATCCAGATAGCCCAGTATGTAATCACTTATTTTTCTCTGATTCGACGGTGGTCTAGTTGGTGTTGATGATTTCACCTATTCGTCGATAGCAGGGGCCCCAACTCTGGTTCTTGACTTCCAAGCTAGATGGCCTGGTAATCGTGTACTTTTCCTCTGTGCCTAGACAGGTACCCCCAAAGGGTGGCTAGTAGGTCTCCCACCATTGCCACGACTTGCCTGCAATTGCAAGGGCTCTCTAGCTAGATTCCTGGTCCTCTTTCCTATTTGCAGTGGCCTGGTTGATGTAGGTGCTTTCCAAACACTCTGTATTTCATCCAGTTTAGTTTACATGGGTTCTGTTTTCTGGGTCTAAACTTTACAGTAGCTCTGTCAAAGATCTGTGCTACCTTTCTACTCAGAACTTGCCAAGTGGGCTTCCATATTCGCAGTTCTCTAGATTTATATAGCCCGGGAGCTTATCTTGTATTTGTACTACCCTATTATCAGTTTGTATTTCTTTGTATAACCTTATATCACATGAATGCCTCAGACCTCCCAGTCTTGCTAGTGTGACCGTAGTTACAGGTATCCTATCTCAACTGATCGTCAAATACAGTTAGCCATAACACAAACAGAATTTTTGAATTTTCATCACTAGTGAGATTCGAACTCTTGATCTGCTACTTGAAGAGGTGACAACTTGACCACTTCACTATGTCGCTACACCCCTTTAAAGATTTAATTTTAAAAATTCTGTATATATATAGAATAATATTTTAATAAAAAGTATTTGTTTTATCAAGTGAAATAATTATAAAGTTATTTAGATTATAGTTGTAAATCTGATAGTATTTATAATTGAGGAAGTATTAATATGATCTAATAGTCTTGTTTAAAATAAAATTAATTATTAGTTATTTTATCAATCTAAATAAGTAATAATATTAATTATGTTTATAATTATATTAAGAAATTAAGTCTTTGTATATATTATTTTTTTGTATTATTAATAAATCTATAACTATATACTAAAAATATTTGTATATAATGATAACATTTAGAGTATCCTATTTATACTGTGTAATGATAACGTTTAAACTACCGGTATAAATAATTAATTCAATTGATTCAATTGTATAACTGTTAAAAACCAATTTTTTAAACTTTAAAAAAAAATTTTAATAAGATAACCTTTCTTGAGCTTCTAATTAAAATTGTAGAGAAGATTTTTCTGGTTCTAATGATGTTTAGATCATCAAAATCAGCTTGGTGGATTCCATGATATTTGGGTTTAAAGGTGCAAATATAAAGATCTACAAATTGGTGATTACACAAAGTCTTATAGTTTATAATAGCATAGTAGACAATTATCATTACACAAACCTTCCAAATCCAAATTTGTGACTTGGTGCTAACTCAGTTCTGGCTTGTCCAATAAAAATTCAAGATTTATGTCCCGTGACCATTAGAAAGATACTTAATTTTTTTTACTTTTTTTACTTTTTTATTCATTTTTTATTCATAATTATCAATTATTAGAGACTACTAAAGATATAAGAAGGTTGTCACAACTTAGTTGTAACTTACACTATACCAGCATTACCTTCTTAATTGCAGAATTTTTTATATCAAATTTTTTTTTACAACACAATTGAATAACTACTAAATTAATATTTATTTAAATTTATTTTCCAGATCCAATTTTTTAAAATATATATATATAATTTAGTTCAAGTAAGTTTTTTAACAAGCATATATTTTTTTTTAATTTAAAAATATTTATTTTTATTTATTCACATCAACTTTCTATTTACAGATTCAAAAATCTCTCATGAGCTATAACATAAGCTTGTTCTACTGGCGGTAATACATCCTTATTTTTTTCTAGCTTTTCTAATATATCATTCTCATTTAATATTTGACCTTCTAGATTATTTGTTTCATCAGCTTTAAGAGATTCTACCAAATTCGAATTGGTTGGATCTAGTTTGCTCAATCATGTAAGAAGAAAAGAAACATTATCACAAACACCAAGATTAAGAAATTTCTCACAATAATGATATTTTTTATTTAAAGAATTAATAAAACAGCTCTCATAGTATCTGTGACCACACGTGATAACCATGTAGCCTTTACCTGTCCCATCGAATTGTTTATACAATAATCACATGTATTGGAAGATGGAAAGTAATCGCTGCTAAATCCTAATAGCATTTGTTTTTTATTTACGACAAAATTTAATGATGCTAGTTGAAAAGTAAATTTGTCGTATTTCGTATTCTTGATAGAACTTTGGCCCAATTTTTGATAAGTGTTTTCAAATATCTTGAAAAGAAATACTTCTGCTTTTTTAGTTAACAATGCCAAATGATCTTTAGTTGCATACGTGGATTTGTGTTGGGTAACAAAAGTATTTTCAAATACATTATCAGCTTTTCTTGCATTGATAACTTTAGCCATTTTAGAGAGTTGCTCCGGTGTATTGAGAAATGAAGTTTGCTGTCAAATTATACTATGCATATTTTTGACTGGGTAATCTGTAAATTTGACTAAATAATCTCTCAATATATTAAGTATTGGATGATTAATCTGACCCCAATAAAATACATCTAAGAGAAATACTAAAGACGCTTTGTTATAATTATATCTCTCAAAGCGCAAAAAAATACACCACGCATGTAACACATCTTCGACATATGACTCCCAATCACCTGAACGAAAAGGATCGAATATATATCCAACCCTACTAGTATCATGTTGTCTAATAAATCAAAAAGATATAAGTATTCTATATCTATACAACACTTACCAAACTTATCCATTATTATTGATTTGATATTTTTCTATGCACTTCTAACTAACTCGAGAAGTAAAAAGGTTTGATATGGACTTGGAATTAAACTAAGATCCTTTTCCGAACTAAAAATATACTTATATTCCATATTAAAAAATTTCCAATATATATTTAATATCGATTCAAGTAAGTTCAGTTGGATGTAGAGAATGCCAATAACTGGTATAAACGATAAAACATTATTTGGTATATTAATACCCCTATAGTTTTGCAAATAAAGCATGATTGTCTGTTATATAAACACTTGCCCAGGCCAATCAGCTATGACGGGAATAACAGAATTAGTTAAATAATTATTTAATAGAGAATTTTTATAAACATGTTGTAAAGCACTAATATACGAATCCATATTTTTAAGCTTTAATTCAAGAAAATCTAAAAGAATTGTGTCTTTCATTTTACATTCTTCTTATTGTTCGATTATATGGGCATTGTAGTTGTGAAGTATTAAGTTTTCAACTTTTTCATCCAAAGATGTTTCGTAATAGAACCGATCGTTGAAAGTTTTAGCCATCCGTTTCATATAATAATGATCTACAGTATTGTAAATAAGTTTAAAATCAATTAATTTTGGATTATGGATTGATGCATTATTTAACGTCATTTGTGGAATAGTTATTATATCAATGCGATTTAATAGCAAGATTATCATATGAGCCACAGTTGACGTTAAACAAGTATTTGGTATGAATGTTATGGTAATCATCAATATTTAATGCTAATACATTATACTTATTATTTTCCAGATACGATTCTATTAGAGACAAATGGTTATTAGCAATTTCTATCTTTTTTTTATCTAGGTGTCTTCGTAAAATCGTTATACCCACATGTGATAGAGCATCTAAAGCTTCAGCAGAAACCCCCATCAAATCTAAAAAAAAAGAAATATCTTCTTTGAATGCCGTTAGTTTAGAATTCTGGTTACCACAAATTATATAGCATTCTATCGCTAATCTCTTATCAAGTTTATTCAAATATTTTTTACTTTTTTTATCCGGAAGAGTTGCATTATAAATCGAATTAAAGAAACTACTTAGCCTTATATCTTTAACTATCATCTCTTTATACAATTGTTTGAAGCTGTAAATAGCTGGCTTTTGTTCAACCTTTTCACGATCGTAGAGAAATTTAGTAAGACATTAACTCCATCAATCCATGAAAAATAATTGCCACCTATTTTTGATTCATGTAAATTCCAAAGCAGTATGACTTTGCTATAATTTCAACACATCAAGTAATATTGATACGCCAATGATCGCTTGCGTTCTTTTTTTTCAGCTTTAGTTTTTCATCCTAAGCATACTATTTCTTCAATTTGATCAAAAAAAAACTTAAATCATTATTCTTATTTACAGCAATCGACCTAAGCTGAGAAAATGAAAAAATAGACAGTTTGCCATCTATTACTTCTCTCTCAAAAATAAAATTAGTTAGTAATGAAATACTTTCACATATAGAAAAACTATTTTAATATCTTTTTAGTCCTTTATCCCAATTCAAAGCATGTTCTTTGAAAGAACTTGCTGCATTCACCACAATTGCATTATAACAACACATACAGCAATACTCATTCTTATGATCTCTATAGTACGAAGCCAGAGTTTCGTTTGCTTCTGCCTTGATCAACACATTTTCAGTAATTTTCTTTCACTTTTTTGTTGAAAGGCCTTTGCAAATCTTTATCATGCAGCATTTGCTTAAGTCGTGAGCTGAACTACCTTCCATTTTCTATAAAGTTACTATAAAACTTAATTCTAATAGATCTTGTTAAATACTGAGATTATTTTGGATTAATTTTAATATAAGACAGGGCAAGTAAAGATCTTTTACTAGCTTTTTTTTTGAAGTAAACTTAATTGATAAGTTTCAAAAAATCACAAGAATATGAAGTACTTTAAACTATATAAAAGTGGAAAAAAATTTTTTTATTAAATTGGCTAAGCCACAATATTGATCATCCAAATTTAGGTTTGTCCACTATGCTGTTTATAATACTATATTCTTATCTTTAATTTCAAATATCTTGGGATTTACTGGTCTGATTTTGATGATCTAAAAACTATTAGAACCAGAAAAAATAGCTCTACAATTTTAATTAGAAGACCAAAAAAGATTATCTTAGGATACTGCTATTCGCACCATAAAAAACATTATTTGCATCATGGATTTTGTATTATATTAGAAAATCAATCACTATATTCTATTTGCATTATTAAAGTAATTATTAATCAACTAACATAGTATTTACTAATCCTCCAAGTTTTTATTGGCTGTTAGTAAATTGCTCTATTTTGATAATCGTTTACATTTGTTTTGATTACTACAGTTAGATGCTTTTTTGTATTTTTTTTTCTTAACATTTTTTGTACGTGTCTTGCTTCACTGGATCTTCTTCGGGCTTTACTTTATTGGATCTTGCTTTGTCGGGTTTGGCTTCATTGAGATCTTCAGGCTTTACTTTATTGGATCTTGCTTCATCAGGTTTGGCTTCGTTAGGACTTCCTTCTTCTTTTCTCTATTGGATTCAGAATCTGGAATTAGGAATGTGGTAGTGTCACAGTTTTTTTTTTTTTTCTTTAAACGAAACTAACACTTCTTGCATGTGTCTTACTTCACTGGGTCTTCTTTGGGCTTTACTTAAT